GGGGGGAAACCAATTACTTCTGCCCTCCCCTCAACCCCACATAATCTCTATCTCAGGGCTGCTAGGGCACGAGGAAACTGCTTTTTCTGGCAGACAACTTAGCAGGTAGCAGGAGCACTGTATCCAATTCCTATATAAAAGAAAGAAAATAAATATTAGCCCCACTCAGCTCTATCACTAACGTATTTTGATAACTTGTGGAAAGTTGCTTAAGGGACACTGGTTGGCTGGAAATGTGAATGTCTGTTCTTACTTTACTAACTTTGGGGAGAAAGACCGACCCCGTCAGGACTCCTGGGCTCTCTCAGCTTGGGAAGGGGGAGTGGGGCCTAGTGGGTTACAGCAGGAGGCAGATATTTAGGGCTGAAATGTAAGAACATCAGACTGGCCAGACTGGGTCAGACCAAAGGTCCTTCTAGCCCTGTATCCTGTCTGCCGACAGTGGCCAGCACCAGGTGCTTCAGGAGGAATAAACAGATTAGGCTTCATCATGATCCATCCCCTGTTGCCCCTTCCCAGCTTCTGACAAACAGAGTCCAGGGACACCATCTCTGCCCATCCTGGCTAATAACCAGGGCTCGACAAACTGGCGAGAGCTCCTCACCAGGCCTGCACCGTGCATGCACGAAGCGCCGGTGAATGGGGCGCACGGAGCGACCGGCTGCAACCTACTCACCTGGGCAAGTAGAAACAGCGGCTTGTGGAGACCTGCTAATCACCATTGATGGACCCGCCCTCCTCGATCTTAGTGTGTTCTTATTGCAACCCTGTTACAGTTTGGACTTTCCCATCGTCTGGCAAAGAGGTTCCACAAGGGCACAAGAGACCTTTCAAAGTTTTGGCCCAAGCGAGGGGGCTTGGGGGCGTCATTTGAGCTCCCCGCCTCAGGTGCCAAAATGTTGTGGGCCGGCCCTGCCCCCCCTTTAGTCATTTCTTTTCCAAGCTGAAGAGCCCCCGTCTTGTTGATTTCTCCTCCGATGGAAGCTGTTCCTTACCCCTGATCATTTCTGTTGCCCTTTCTCTACCTTTTCCATGTCCAATAGATCTTTTTGTAGCTGGGGTGACCAGATCTGCATGCAGTGTTCAAGATGTGGGCATACTGGGCTTTATAGAGACACAATATGGTATTTTGTCCTCTTATCTATTCCTTTCCTAATGCTTCCCGACGTTCGGTTAGCTTTTTAGTTTGCAAACTGCCACTGCACGTGGAGCAGATGTTTGCTGGGAAATATCCACAAGGATTCCAAGATCTTTCTTGAGTGGTAACAGCTATCTTAGATCCCACCATGTTTCTATCTGAAATTGGGATTACATTTGCCCATGTGCATTACTTTGCACTTATCAGCACTGAATCCCATCTGCCCTGGTGTTGCCCAAACACCCAGCTTTGTGAGATGCCTTGGTAGCTCTCTGCAGTCAGCTTTGGAGAAGTCACAGTTTACCCCTTTTTCAAGAACATTTATGCGAAGTTTAAGAGAAGTGATCTAAATGCAGATCCCTGCAGCACAACACTTTCCCCCCCACACACATCTTTTAAGTGGAGTACCTGGCAATGTTTTCATGATGATCTAACCATCCTTCAATTACCTGAATAACCTGCCTTTGTTTTGTTAAAACAAAATACAGGACTATGTAGCACTTTAAAGACTAACAAGATGGTATATTAGATCAGTGGTCCCCAACCATTAGGGATTGCCGGGCGCCAGGGGGCGTGGCCGTTCG